CCCTACGGAGGAATTTCTTTATCCACTATCTGGAACATATCTAATACAACAGAATGGCAATGGCAGAATTTCACACATCACACTTGTGATTTAAAAATTGTTGATGATATCCTTGCTTCTTCAAGATCACATGCTGGTATAAAGTACATTTTAGTTAAATCATCAAACCTCATTATTCATGTATGTGTATAATGAAATATGCATTCAACTTTGCACATCCAAAATCAAGATGGACAAAGAAACTAACAAAGGAATAAAAATGCAAGCTCAAGATTCATGACCAAACCTGAGTGCTGAGTCTATAGGTCATGAGATCAAAAGAACCATCAGGAGGTATGAAGGATATTGTCCGGTCATTTTCAAATCGCGCCAAACGCACACACCTAAGCAGAAACAAATTGCGGAAAACAAAAGATGGACACCCATTACAAAAGGCATACTCAAAATCAAGTGCAATTGCACATCATAACTAAATACTAGAGTTCATTAAATACTGATGAAACTTGATGTCGTCTAGATCAATGGCTTTTCCCTTTGTAGATCGCCCTTGCGCCTCCAGCAGCACTCTATCATTCAGCCCAAGCTTACATTCAGGCATGCCACTGGAAGAGTTAATACATTAGCGCTTCATAATTACAGAAAGCGAGCACCAAATAATACAAACACCTAAAAACCAGGCAAACTTCAGCCATCTTACACTGAAAAATACTTTTGATTTAGACCTTTCCAATATAAAAGCATATAGGGCAGCTTAATACAAGTATAAACTAGAAAAAGAACGAACAGGATCCCAACCAGGTACAGAACATCCTGCATCAGAGTTATTGAAGACACAAAAGATTAAGAGAAAAGGGAAAACCCTTCTGTCTGAGATTAAACTGAAAATTTTCACGTAACATGAATTCATTATTGCAATTCATATTTACAATAGGTAGGTTTCAACAATGAGCTCAGCTTGCAATTGCCAAAGAAAGGGGCAGGTAGACTGAGACAGTGTTCACTTTTCCAAGTCTCGGATCCCATGTTTTGGCAGCTTAATTAGAGATAGGGAGTGTCACTGGCCGGCCTACTGCTAGCTTGCTTGTGTAACCTAAGTTGCAGAGTTAAGAAAAACTGCTCGGGGTTTACTTTTCTACTCTGCCCAAAATTGTTGAGTCAAGTTATAACTTACACAGACAACTCCCACTAGTAAGTTGGAAGCTCCAACATCCCATGTACGTCAATTAAGGCCCTGATGCCCTTTGTCGGGTACTACAACACAATTCAGGACTTCCAGTAAACATTCAATGAAGCACTCCCAATGATAGACCTGAGGACCCTCGTGTCACATAGCTGGCCTACTGCCAGACCTATTGTGATACTAGTTTCAGGCTTAAGAAGTAACTACCACCAATGTTGGACAAACTACATATGGTGTATTACATGGGGAATGCTAGATTAAAAACTGCTTTGCGCAAATGTTGATATTCTGTTGGCTTAATCAGATTCAAAAGATAGTAAACAAACAACCCCAAAATTTTCCCACAGTAGCTAAGTTAATAAGTATCAATCTACCAGCATGCCGTCTGCTAAGGCCCTCCCCCCAGGTTGGTTTCTCTCCATGAACACGTCAGTAGAAGGTTTTTCCATCTTTTGAAGCATAAGATTCAAAAGAGTGGAAATTAAATGAGGCAAAGCCAAACATAGTGTTGTTACATCAATCCTATCAGTAGTTTGACTTTGTCAATCATCATAAACAGCACATCAACTTCTGAGACTCTAGAATCAAAATATTTAATTGAGATGGTGAGTAGAGTTGGACATGGTTCGGTTCGGCTCTAAAGAAAACCAAATCAAATCCAAATTTCGGGTATTTAATAAGTGAAACCATTTGGTCCAAATTTAACTATAGAACTGTTCGGATTCGGTTCCCGGGTTCTGTAAAATAATTAATTTTTTTATATTTTACAACTACGCTACATTAATTCAACTATAGCATATTCAATCTTAACTCTTACAAAATAATTTAGTCTAATTTCATGATATTTTTTGCACCTCTCTTTGTTGAGTTCTTCATAGATTTGACCATTAAAATCACAAGAATATAAAAATAGGGAGCTCCCAACAATAATGAAGAGAGACGCAACCTAGCTTCCAATTCTACTCCAGTATAAACCCTGAGGGATAGCTCATTGGTCAACCTTGGGTTTGCTCCCCAATGGTCACCAATTCGAGTCCCCTCAGGACCACTGAGATGAGTACCCGGCTGCAAACTTCAGGGTCCGTGGGATTAGTCGAGATGCGTGTGAGCTAACCCAGACACCCAGTGTCACTAAAAAAAAAAAATCTTCTCAATAGAAGTAGTAGAATAAAAAATTTGGGTAAAATTTATATCAATTTGATTAAGTTGGGTTTGGTTAAAAATTAGAAATAGAAAAATCATATTTTAGATTTGAAGTAATTAGTCAACAAAATTTGTTTAAAAATATAAAATAACTTGACTTGTTTAAGATAAAAATTTTAAAAAATTAGGAAAATTCATTCAATTATTGGTCTATAACCAAGAACTGAATCAAACCGAATCCGTTGGTTCTTGATTTAGATACCAGTTCGAATATTTAATTTAAGATAAACAACTCAATTCAGTTCAGTTCGGATCCGATTCAGTTTGGTTCTGTTGTAAAGTACCAGTTTCGATCCTCAGGGTAGGTTGATAACCGACAGCGAAAGGCATTCTATCCAATAAGGCCGATACTTCGAATCCAAATCAATTCGTCGTCGAAACTTGAATAGTATGACATAGGAAGTTCTTTTATCCATAAAAAATCCAAACTTGGATTCCTGACCGTCCAGCCTTAGTGGTGAGACTCATGATGCCTACAAAGAGATTAATTTTGTTTGTGAACTGCTTCTTTTGCTAATTATTTGATGTTAACTTGGCATTAGCTGTTGGAAAGATATCTATCATATAACTTTATGATGATGAATAAAGGAAATTCTCGTATTCTATGCAAACTGATGAAATGATTTACCAGGTTGCTAGTTCGATGATTTAATTCGATGAGCAACCATTCTCATTCATATGCAAGAGTTTGACAAAAAAGAATTATGTGATTTCTTTGTTATAAGGAAAATCTAGTCTACTGCCATAACAAGATGAAAAATGGGGATCAGATCCACTCAATCCAAGCACAAAATTTTGTAATGTGGTAAATCATAATACTAAGCTGAACCTCCACATACATATATCTGGGAAAATAAAACTTGAAACCATGCTTCTCCGAGGCCCTTAAATCTAATTTAAAACTGAAGAACAAGTTTGTAGAGTGTTTGATTCCAGTGAGAAGCCTAAAAGAAATTGTTTCTTTCCATATAAAAGTATAATATAGTTAGTAAGCACCTATAAGCAAAACCAACGTACAAATTGTAGCAAAAAATATCAATGTCCATTAATTAATAGATATAAAATAAGAGAAGCACAATCAGAGACTCTAGATACTTGCAATTCATCCAAATTCTCAAATCATAATTGAGAGAGATTTCAAGACTCTTAAGTTCTCACTCTCGTTAAAAAGCGACTTTTTTCTTCTCTAATACCACTTTTGTTATGTCTTATCCTAGATCCTAAGAAGCACACACATGGACATTGGACAAGGATATAACAACACAAGATTTTTCAAAAAAATAGTACACCAACACATCAGAGACATTTTGATTTTAAATAAATTTAAATTCTAAATTTATGCATTATCTCTTTATTTTTATAATTCAATATATGACACAACATGTGGCATGTCGGACACTGCCTTGGAGTGTCCAGGGAGTGCTGCTGTCCGACATGACTTGTGTTGGATACTAGAATGATGCCCTAGTGAACCGTAGGCAACCACGCTCTACCCATTTAAAATGTAATACATCACCAAATCTCTTGATTTTCTCCCAGTCCATGCCCATCACCACCTGCAATATAAAGATTGACCATTGATAAAGGTTTCCTAATAGGTGAAGAGGGAAGCCATGTCAATTCCTCAACACTGATCCATCATAAGTAGTGTCCCCAAACATATTTGAATCAAGCACCTCACTCATAAGTATAGTCAGCCCATTTAATTTCCAACCCCCCCACCCCCCGCCGCACTGGCCTGAGAATGCAGCACTCAGGCCTCAAATGATACCCAGAAGGTCCAATCAAATCCCAATAGGGATCTACAGCACACCAGTTACGAACTGCCATTTTTATCTCTTCACTTCAGAATTATAATTCTACAAAACTATTGACCCAGTACAGCTACTACAATCTACAGTATATCATTCAATCATTGTCAAAGATTTTTAGGATTCAGCCCTTTTGAGTAGCTCGACATTCATATGATTTGAATTCTATGAGAGGTAAAACACAGAGCAAGAAAATCATCACAGATAAGTGTCCAGGATTGATGAACCAACCTCAAGTATGCCCGCATCTTTAATGCCCCAACAACATCTGACCTAATTATTTGTCCATTGCTGTTGACAAGTATATTAACACTTTCTACGACATCCAAAAATACCTGAAGAAACAAGAAAATGCTAGGTAATCATGTCATTCAAAGAATCAGCTAGAAGGCTAGTAAGAAAGACCTACTTCATTATTCTTGTAACGTATCCCTTCACTGCGCCAAGAAACTGCATTAGTTACAGCCATTGGAGGCCTCTGTGTAACTTCCATCCTATAAGCGTCAGTCTTGATGAATTCACTAAGAATGTTTGCTTCAGTATATTGAGGGTAACCGAAGTCCATCATTTCATCAAGTAACTCATACTGTCAGAGGCATAAAGCATCATCAGTTCTGGCAGATTCAAATCTTTATTGCTTTGATACTTCACAGTAAACTATCAATTTGAAAGAAGAGGTGAGCAAATTCTCTTACCACAACAACAAAATTATCTCTAAGAGATTCCTCTTCTAACTCTTCAAAATAATGTTTAAACACCTGCCATCAGATTGCAACAAATTGATAGTGCCTAAATTATGTAAACTAGACTCTAGAAGCATACTGAAACTCTATTACTTACAAAGCTTACATCAACAACACGATGTAGGAACAGCAGAAGGCTGGCAGCATTGCAGTTCTGTCTAGATGCAGTCATGAGATAAACATTATTGTGTTGTATAGACATATACGTGACACCATTATCATATACGACAGGATCTTGAGAATCCGGCTCACCCTAAAATAGAACATTGTACCACACCATATGTCAGTCCTTGTCGTTCCTTTTAAAACTAAATGCTATTTTGACAAAATAACAGTGAAATAGCAGGTGTGTAGCAAATTTTAGTAGCATCAGTCTCAGGATAAAGGAGAAATTTCAGAATTTTCTCCGGTCTGAATTATATAATTTGATGTCATGTGGTTTTTTGTTCATTATGTTTTCCCATGTTTCAGATAACATAAACTTCCGAGAACAGTGCCATAAAAAATAAGTTTTAAATTCTGGGGGAAAAGGGGAGGGGGTAGTTCTTGAACACATTTCATTTGCGAACTATATTGTGCCAAAATTAATTAATCAAAGGTTCAAATGAACAGAACTAAGATGTTATACCAAATTTCAGCTCCATCAAATCACATAACTTTATTATCTATCAAATTTGCCATTTTATTGAATTAAGTTCCTTCTTGAAGGGCAAATAATCAATTCGATGAAGACTAAGTTTTGATTTAGAGTGAAGCTATCTCCTTTATGAACTGAATTATCAATTATCTACATGTGCTTTTTCCAGCATTAACTAAACCATCTAAGATGTCAAAATCCACAACAATTCGTTCCATTTTATACACCATTTTAATCAAGATTTTGCTTACTTAAATCAATTGAATTCTATATATATGTGATAGTGTTCTTCCCCAAACACATGAGAATGAATTAAAAATCATTCATACATTCATCCAAACTTTGAACAAATTGCTATCACTTTACATATTCAACATTAGTTTTCACTTGTTCAATTTATAGATCACTTTTTGCTTTTGGATGTTCTTCTTTACGGCTAGATAAATCCTACAGACTATTTGCCATTTTGATCCTTAACAACATCGAAAAGGAGGCAAATATCGTTTGAGGACAATGATATTATTTTCGTGTTCAAGTCTTCTTCTTCATCACCTTCTTCTATTTTCCTCCATTGCTGTAATTTTCCAACAATCAAGCCAACGATTTGCTTACAAATCCAATCCTCAACACTACACTTGCTAAATAATTGAAAAAAGATCAAAATCAAGCTCATACATCTATTCAGCTTCAATCAAACCATTTAACACCATACATTCGTCAAAAATATACGACATTCAACAAATTATTCCAAATTTTAATAAGTAAAATCGAAAGCGGAACCAGTAAACTAGAAATGAATGAATAAACAAATACCTCTTTTTCAATGAGCTTGGTAAAGAAGCGTTCGGCTTGTACAGCGGAGACATCCCCACGGTAGTCCCGCCACACCAGAACCCTCCCCTTTATGTCTAGTAGGAACAGCGCCGATGCTGCTCCCGCCATTAATTTCCTTTTAATTTATTTACTAATCTTCCTCAAAATTCAATTCTACACAGATCGCAACAGATCAAAAGGATGAATGAGATCTGGCTGGTAATTTGTTGATTTAGAGTAAATTTGAAGGGAGAAAATGGAACGAAAATTCTCTTTGAAAATCAATCATTTCTCTTTTCTTCTGCAGTACTACAACATGAATGGAGATGCATTATGACGAATGCGAATTAGAGTGTCGCTGCTGAGAAATGAACGAAGGAAAAATTTCGGTAATTTTTAAATTGGCTCGGTCAAACAACCAATTTTTCAGTTTGATCATATTTTTTTTTTTTTTTTTTTTTTTTTTTTTTTTTTACATTTT